GGACCCGGGTGGGCGGGGCCCGGCCAAGCCCCGCCCCCGCTTCCTGCCGGGAGGGGCCGCGGCCGGAGCGAAGGTGGGAGCGAAGTCCCAGGACCCCAAAATCCCCCTGTGCGCCCCAAACCCGCCCTGCACCCCAAACCCTCCGACTCCCCCAGAGCCCCCCGCCGCCCGCCTCGACCCAGGCCCGGCGGGGACCCCCCAAACCCCCTGACTCAGTTTCCTCTGGGTGCCGGCGGGGTCCCCACAGCAGCGGGGGGGGTTTGGGGGGTCCCCGCTCACCCCCCGTGCCCCCCCCAGGTCCTGGAGCCTCCCACCATGTGGAACCCTGGTGCAGGTACAGGGGGACACCCCAAACTGGGGGGGCTGCCTTGACCCCCCCCGGGGGCAGACCCCCCCTCAATTCCTCTTTTCTCCCCCCCCAGGACAGCCGCCCCCCCCCAACCCCGCGTACCCCCCCCCGTACCCCCCGGGGCCGCCCCTGGCCCCCTCGGGCCCCCCCTTGGGCCCCCCCCACCCCGGGGTGCTCCCCCAGCCCGGGGTGCTCCCCCAGCCGGGGGTGCTCCCCCACCCCGGGGTGCTCCCCCACCCCGGGGTGCTCCCCCCGTTCCCCCCCGGGCTGGACAAGAAGGCGGCCAAGAAGATGAAGAAGAGGATGAAGAAGGCTCACAAGAGGCACAAGGTGGGGGGGCCCGGGGGGGGCACAGGGGGTCACCCCGGCCCCCTCAGGGGCTCACGGCTCTGCTGTCCCCTCCCAGCGCTCTTCGTCCTCCTCCTCCTCCTCCTCCAGCAGCTCCGACTGAGGCTCCTGGGACCCCCCAGGACCCCGCGGCATCACCTGGGACCACCGGGAGCCACCCGAGACCTCGTGGGACCCTTGTGACCACCCGGGACAGCCCCGGACCCCCCTCCTGTCCCCACGGCCCCGACGCCCTGCTCCCGGGGGGTGCCGGGGTGTCCCTGCTGTCCCCCAATAAACTCTGGGACACCCCAATGTGTGTCAGCGTCTCCCTCGCGCCGGTGGGGGCTGGGCTCGGGGGGGACACGAGCCCCAATGCTGCTGGGGAGGGGGGACTGCCCGTCTGCCCCCAGTGCCCCCCAGTGCCCCCCAGTGCCCCTTTTGCCCCCCCATCACCCCATAGCTCCCCGTACTCAATTCTACCACAGCTTTATCCACTGCCCTTTAC